CAAATATGTTACATATATTTCAGCACACGTAATTCAAATTTTTTAATTGTGTAATTCAAATGTCAATTGTGGAATGTCAATTATTTGATTTATTTGCTTAAGGGTATTCTATCTAAAAATTACAGAAAATCTAAAATAACGGTTTTTTCATATTTCGATAGTCTGTAGCTTTCAAAAATATTTCCCTCAAGATGTCACGAAAGCTCAAGTTCTAAATAGGTGATTTACTTAAAACTTGCGATGTATGCTCTCTGAATATTATCTAAACTTGACAAACCTCAAAAATTCACTATTGTTTCGCGGGTGTATTGCTTTGAACACTTCCTGAATTTTCTTGATCTGTAAGCCTCATTTTGCAGGCGGTGTGCCACCACAACTGGCACTTGTGATAGTATCCAATTATGTCTACCACAGTCTCTTTCTATCAAGAGTGAGTAGTATACTTTGTGCAATTTGGATTCACAACTTGCCCATGCTTTTGCAGTTTTGCAATCCGAATACTTATTTCATCGAATTTAAACCTTCCGTGTCATGCTCTGTCCAGATATCGTTAAGACAATGCATGTGTTTACCAAGGTCGAACACGTTATCAGATGAAATCCATACACCACTCTTGCAAATTCCGTTCATATCTCATTGCCAACGATGCCTTTGTGACATGGCACCCAGAAGAAGTGAAGTCGCTAGTTCCTGGCGACACTTTTGGTCGATATGTGATACGATGTTACTGCCTCGATTGCTGCTTGGCTGATCATCCGTATAAAATATTGAATGTGTTACGCGTAGCTACTGCCTTTACGTCAACCATCTCTTTTTACTGTTTACTCAAAACTTTCTTTCCAAATTAAAAAGTGGTATAATGTAGTCAGTGTTTGCTAGACGCGCATTACGCAGCGTGCTATGCCCGAAGGCTTTACATGTCGCCCCGCCAATTATGCTGCGGACTTTTCAGTGAAGAGATTCTATAGGTGGCAGGTTCTTAGTGGTCCCTTATGCACTGCGCAGCGAGTCTCTAAACGCTTTCCATTGACTTACGGTAGGTAGGTTCGCAGCCTGTCCACACACTCTACTGCACCGTAGAGCAGAATGGGTACACATCGCTGTGTAGCACCAGTAAAGAGATAAGAAGAGGAGAAAGAAACCCTCAGGTTGTGCCGGACATCTGCCTACAAGCATATTTCACACAGTGTGCTTCCACAGCAGTTTGCTGTGCAAGATTACCCCAAGGTATTTGGTGCGATCCGTGACAGGAGTTGTGTCGCTTTATCGAAAACGTCCAACAACTCCATCTAAACTGCATATGCTTTGCAAAGTACATGTATAGAAGTAACATTACCATAAATATATAATTACTTGGGACCCTTTCAGCACCCTATAAACCCCATCCATTCGATTGCGCTTTGATGAACCTCTCTAATACTCATTATCCTTTATTGACAATGCATTAAGTCGATGATTGCCGAGCAATGCCGCAATGCCTAACCACAAAAGAAAAAAACAAAATTGAGTGAAAAAAAAAATAATAACAAACCGTAAGTAAATAACGGAAGCAATCAGCCGAACTCATACATACTTAAACAACAAGCGGGCTGCTGATGCCGCAACAAAAGCCAAGCGAAACTATCCATATATAAAAGTAAAAAGTGTCAATAAGCGACTGAGTGAAAAAGAGAGAGATAGAGGGAAATGAAGAATTAGCAGGAGAGAGCGATGATGATAAAGGCAATGCAGCAACCTTTTTGCTTTCATTAAATTTCTATTTAATTGTATTAATTCTTTGCATTTGATTTTATGTAAATTTAATTACATCGTGATTTCAATGAAACACACATACATACGTATATATATATATGTATAATATATATATATATATTAATTAGGGTGGTGCGAAATTTTTTTTTGTTTTGCTTAGCCTAAGTGTAAAATTTGTAGATTTAAAAAAAGAAAATTTTAGGGAAAAAAAATTTTTAATATCTAGAGGTTCTCACTCACTTTTAAAGTAAATTTCGAGTTAAAATTTTTTTGGAAAAGAAATTTTTTTTGGTTTAAATTCGTTACAATTATATTAAAATTACCGAATGTGACGGTTTTTGACTCAAAATTTAATTTAACGCTTAAGGAAAGCATGTTGTCGTTTAAGATTTTTTTTTAAACTCCAATATTGATCACAAAATTTTTTTTTTGCTGATAAATTTTTATTGGCCAGAAAGAGGACGCTCCACAGCTTCTAGAAAACTTATCAAAAGTTTTTTAGGAAATAAAAATCTTACCTCGAAATTTAAAGGCCGCCTCTAGATGTTAAAAAAAAATAGTTTTTTCGCTCCACCCTAATACATATATATTTATATGTATATGCACATTGTAGCCAACACGATGCGCTCAGAGCACGTACAGTTATAAAGTAAAGTTCACGTGCGAAACCAAAAAACAACGCTTTCACGACAAACAACGAACATGATAGGGCGAAGAGCAACAACAAACAACAACAACAAGTGCGCGCTAATAAAAAGTCCTTTAGTTGCGCTCAAGTAGTAAATGTGAAGATTGTGAATTTGCACTCGGCGCGCTGATAAATAAACCAATAAACAGAAGCAAGCAATGAAATTTCCGAAGACATTTGCGTATGTGTGCGTTATTGTGACTGCGAGTGTGTGTGTGCTGTGTAGGAAATCTCACTTACACCAGACAAACACTCAAGTTCAAGTTACTCTCATTTACATTGCAAGCGAACGAAGCTGGCGGAAGAAAAACGTAAGCGAGGAGGAAGGAGCAGGTGAAAAAGTAGATGAAGAAGGCGGAAAACAGGCAAGAAAGCGCACATCCAAGGCAACGACCGCAACTTAGAGTGGCTGAGTTTTGAAAATACACGCTAGCACGTACACATACGCACAACTGTGATGATAGTTCAATGCGCACATGTCAGCCAAACGAGCTAAGCGCACACACATACGTACGCACACTTTAGCATGTACGCCATATATCCCTGTAGCTTGAAGTGAAAGTGTATGGCCTCGGCTGCGTTTCGAGCGCTCGTGTAGCGTAAAAGTGCCGCAAATTCACAGCGAATTGCCAGCGGATGCGTGGCTCTGTAATTTTGAATTGCGAATAATTTTCTTATTTGCAAATACATGCAAATTGTTTAACAAAAGCGCGCATGTGATTACAACTAGCAAACTCACACACACACACATACAGTTAGCGGCGATAATTTATGCGCATAATAAATGCAAAAATATATAATGTAGTTGCATTGCATAAATAAAATAGCAAATATGCAATGCATTGCCATTTTTCATCACAAAATGTTACTCATACGCCATGTGGCATCGCTCATGGCCACGAGAGAATTGCATCCAACGCACTTTGCAACATATGACGCAAGAATCGCTGCTATTTCATAACCCCCTTCTGTCTGATATTGCTTTAGTTTTCATAATTTTCGATTTTTGCATGATTTATTTGCTTGAAGAATGCTTGCAACATTGAGAAAATGCGCTTTAGAGTCGGTATGAGAGGTTCACAGACACGAGTACAACAAGAAAATTCTTTTCATTTTCAGTGGCTAACCATACTCAAGTTGTTGCCCCATATAACTGTATACTAAAGGGGTAAATTTATGTGTGTACAAAATGGCAAAAGAAAGAATTTGCGCGTTCAACGGCAGGTCAATATAAAGAAACTTTGTAGAAATGGTTAATAACTATAATTAAATGCAAATGTAGACCTGAAGGGTCTGGTGTTACTACGATCTAACTTTCTCACATTCAAATGCTTATATATTGATTCAGTAGACTTCTGATGATTTAGATTAAACACTGGTGTCTACAACCTAAGATATTTATGTGAAATAACTTCTATTGGTATTTAATCTAGTGTAACTAACCTCAAATTGGTCCAAAAGTTCCGTTTTGGTATAATTTTTGTACAATTAGATCTTTTTTATACTTTAAATTTTTATATGAGGTAGCCTTATTGCGCATAAACTCCTAAAGTACTTTTGAATTAGATGCCCCAATCTTCTCGACTCAACAACTATGTGCCGTGGCCTTTCTTTCTCATGGGGCATAATCCTCTCCAATTGAGCCAAGCTGGCCGCTTCTATGCGATTTCTTTCTTTAAACAGTCCAATTGTTGATAGTACAATCATAACTGACCCACTTTTGTATTGATTTTGTTGCGATTCAGCGGTTTCCATTATCTCATCGATATTTTCGTTAAACGTCCTTCCAGATTGTGATGATTCTTTGACGTCAAAATTACAGGAACGGAATCGACGAAACCGAAATTTCCTGTGATTGGCTGTTACAGTATCAGAACCATACAAACTAACACAAATTCCATGCCTGGCTTGCGTTTTCGCCTTTATCGATGAAAAACTATAAAATGTCAAATTTTTCTCTTTACTTGTGTTAACCTTTGACACGTGCTCAAATAATATTACGACATCTTTCTAACGCCATCTAACATAACTGCATCGGACTAATACAACACGAGATGCAGCTTACTAAAGCCTCTATTGCTGAATATAATGAATTTCTTTTTACTAAACCTTTTATATGGGAAGATTTTGAAAGATACGAAATATTTTTGGTCCATCATATTGCGCCAAATGGAGGTATATCTTCGCCAGCAACCCACCCAATTTAAATCTGTAAACGAACTCGAATTTTTGGGTCTCTTATTAAAAGCTCTCAATACTGCAGGAAGCTGTAGGCTGCGGTGTACTTATTTCGATGTGCCTTGTAGCCATAAACCTTTTTTAAACTTAATGAGCTTTTGCGTTGAGATGAGTGAACTGTGCTCGATAGCGATCGTGAGAATTTTTTGACTTCCGCAAACTTCGGCTTTTTGTGTTTATTTGACATTATTAAAACGAACATTCACTAAACTGATTTAAATTATTATATATTTATCCCGACTCCATACAACCTAAAAAATACAGTATATAACAAAATTTTTATATGTTCGAATATTAACGATATATAAATGGAACCTCTTCCTTAAGTGCTGGCAAAAGAACAAGCGCCACAGGGCGAATTATCAGGATCTGTATACTCCGCCGTAGGATTTTTGCCATAGGGTTTCTCATCATTCGCATCAAGCACATAACTGCCAATTAAGAAATGTGGCACAGCATAGCCCATAGGAAACTCAGAACCATTACATCTACCATCCTGCAGGCTATACAGTGTGTTGCAACGCTTTGCCAGAAAATCGCGCTCATTATTGGGATAGACCGACTCCGCGTAGTACTTCCAAACGATTTCATGTGAGCATTGCGGAGTTCTGCAGGCATTCTGAATAAGAAATTTACCGCCAACATAGAAATCCACATTCCCATTAGCTTGATACTGTCCATTAGCACCAGAATTTGTATGTATAATGTCAACGAATTCGGCATCGCTTGCCGAGATGGTGGTGAGGACCTCACCTTCGTTGTAGCACGGTAAGGCGGGATCTAAACCGGTCACGTAAGGTAAGCTGTTGCCCGTCAACTGGCGATAGTGACGCGCTGCCGAGCCTACTATTTGTGCGCCCAAGCTGTGACCCATCACGTGCAAGTCGTCTACGTCTATAAACTCGATGAGACGTTGAATGGCCTCAGCGAGATATTTACCGATTGTGTCTGTGTTTTGTGCTGACCAAATATAGAGCGTATTTATGTATTCGCCAGTATCCAGCGCCTACGAAGTTATTATTTCTTTAAGCTTATACAGAAATAGAATTTACAGGTTATTACCAGATAATTAGTGTCACCGGGACAGTTGTATGCCTTAGCCATAGCGTCATGGCGTTCATTATTCACCGTGGTAGTCCAACCGGTTGAGAATATAACGGTCTTTTTGTTCGGATCAAAATCCGGATCCTCAAGCAGACCGCTGAGATCCTCTATAGGATATGTACGCTTGTCGCACGGTGTACGCAACTGTAACTTAATATACTCCAGCTGTGGTTTATAGCGTTGCGTTGGTCCTGGCCCCTGGCAATTACCGTGGCGCCTTAGAATTGCAAATCGTAAATTATGTGCACATTTCAACTTTGTTTAGATTCAAAGTCATACTTACAAACAGCGTTTGCTACCTGATATGCAATTACTGTTGGCAAACCTACGATCAAGTTTTCTATCGTTCTGAAAAAGTAGTCGGCTCGCAATGGTCCTGGGGAGCTCGCTATCAGCGCGCTTCGGCTTCTTGGTGCCGCGTCCAGGTAATCTGTGTGTCGCCTCCAATGCGCGCGCTGCGCAGTAGACACCAAATGAAATTAAGTGAACTATCCTCATAGCGCTACGCTAACTTATCTTTATTCTGTCGCGATCTGCAAACGATGTTTCTAACTATGCGCTACAAAGTGTGCTATTTATATGACAATCATGTGTGAATTCGGCGCAATACTCTGTTTTATTAGTTGAGATTTTCAATACGGCGCTTTATCTTAATTGGATACTCAAAACAAAAGCAATTCGCAAAGTGTAAGTTGACAAAAATATGTTGTTTTTATACCCTGAAAATGGTATGTTTGCAACGAAGTTTATAACCCCCCTATTAATGTTTGTAACACCCTAGAAATTATGCATGTGGGACAAGCTGTCTGTCCGTATATACGCGAACTAGTCCCTTTTGAGATATCGATTTGAAATTTTGCACACGTCCTTTTCTCCCCAAGAAGCTGCACATTTGTCCGAACCGTCGATATTGGCCTACTTTAGCATATAGCTACCATACAGACTGACTCATCAAAATCAAGTTCTTGTAAATAAAACTTTTTTATTTAACAAAATGTATTCAGGAATGATTGAAATCAAGATCTTTCAAAAAACTTGAACCAATGAAGGGTATTATAGCTTCAGGGCAGCCGAAGTTAACGTTTTTTCTTGTTTTTAATTTATTTAAAATACTTTTTTTTATTCATAATACCTGCACTTAATGTTTGCAAACGAATTTTTGATAACTTATATAGATTTGTTTCATACATTTTTTATTTACACTTTATTTAAATACTAAAATAGTTACTAAATTTAGTTTTTAATTTTAGTATAAGCTAATTTAGTTTAATATTGTTTTATGTTATTTAACTTAATTCAATTCAATTTAATTTTATTTAATTAATTTAATTCAATTAAATTTTATTTTATTTTAATTAATTTAATTCAATTAATTTAATTTTATTTTATTTTATTTACTTTATTTAATTTCATTTAATTTTATTATTTTTTTATAGTTTTTATCTGATTAGTAAGTTTATTTAATTTCATTTAATTTTATAACTTATTTATTTTTTTAATTTATCTGTCATAATTAAATTAATTTGAATTTCCTTTATTTGGTTTGAATCTTTCTCACTTTAAAATTAAATAGTTTGAGATTACAAACGGCACAGTGGATATAGTAAATACAATATATTTGCTGAAATGTTGTTTTTACGTTAGACACTGATCGATTTTTCCTTATAGACTTAAATGCATTGCTTCATATTCTAATTAGGTCTGATAACAGTAGTAAAACCACTTAATTATTGAGCTAGTCACACACAATACCTTACTCACATAGTGTGCATGTAAATATGTGATAAAAGTTACGTAATAAGATTGCTTTGATGTAGTGTTTTTTTTTTAATAAGTAAGCATATTTGAACTTATGTACAGTATGCTTCCAATGAAATAGGCACATAAATAATATGTAATCGCAAACAGCGTTAATAAAGAGCAATACACATATACTTACTAATATTTATTTTATTTACCGGATTTTGATCAAGTGTCCCCTATTGAAATTTCAACTTTGGCTATTTTTTTACCGATACAGTAATTTTATTTACTTGCTTTAAGTGCAGACAAACGCGACTTCTTGTTTTGTACAAAATTTCTCTTTACTGGGTTTATAAGCTAGACGACTCGATGAATTAGCTTTTCCCAAATGGGGTTTAGTTAACCTCTAAGATTCCAATGTCATCAACTCATCTAGTGCGATTTCTACTCTTCAGTGAAGATATATTATTTTCTCTTTGAACCTTTTTTAACACTAAATGCGCCTTTTCTCGATCTATTGGTTCTACCATAGTTTCATTTACAAGTTGAAGGCCTGTTGATATTTTTTTTTTATTAGTAATTTTATTTATTAATGCGAGTACTAAGTGGAGCCATGTACACAAACTGTATTCGAAATGGTCACCTTATGCTTCACATAAGTCTCAAGTATTCGGCCATTGTCAATAGCAGCATACAGCTTTATTGGTATTGACGAAGATGCTCGAACCAAAATTTTAGTATTACTTTTAAGCGACTGCTGGATATTTGTGCTCTGGAATAGTATTGAACCTTTTGTTTACCTTTCACTAATCTTTATTTATATTTAGCAGATCAACAACCTTTTTTTTTATTTGAGGTCGATAAACCTTTTTTACATTTTGATTGACCGCTACAAACCCGTTTGTTTACCTCAGCCAACGTCAACAACCTTGGTTTACATTCAATAACCTTTTTTATATTTGAGGTCAATGGCCTTTTGTTTACATTTTATGGGGTCAATGACCCTTTTGTTTACCTTTAGCCAAGTCAACAAACTTTAGTTATATTTGAGGTCAATAGGCCTTTTGTTTACATTTGATGGGGTGAATAATTCTTTGTCTACGTTTAATTGGGTCAATAACCCTTTTATTTACCTTTTGCTAAGTCAACAACCTTTTTTACCTTTTGATCAATCGTCCTGCTAAAAGTCTAAGGTCTTGCTGGAAGATCCAATGTTCTCCATAAAAGAGATTATTGCAAAACTGCTTTACCACGCCTTCTAAACCATTGCGCTGTTACACTTTTGTTCCAGCTTTGACCCCTTTTTCACAGAAGCTCATAAATTTCACTTGCGCTTCTTCCACACTTATGTAAAGCAATCATCCTAATACGATTTGCTTAAGCTGCCCATACCATTGTTCATACGCGAAAGCAAACACTTAATTAATATATGAAAAAGAACATATCACAATATAATATTCAGAAAAGAAATTAGCATTGGAAAGTGAATAAACCATTTGAGAAGTACGATTAGCCTATCGCAATATGAACGAAATAATATGAATGCCCACGCCTAAGTTTATGCAAAGAATTTCAGTTACTGCAAACAGTAAGGTCAGAGCACGCATTGTAGTGCTCTTCTTTAATTCTTTTCCCGTCTGCCTACTTTATTATTCTCATAATTCAATTGCATAAAATTCAAATTTTTAAACAATTTATACGACAATAAATAAGGGTCAATCAAAGC